CCGGTCCATGTAACCATGATTTTATTTTCTCCAAGTTCAGCACACCCCTGGATCGGTCGGCTGGAGTATCACAGGAATTTATGTGCCGCCATTGACCCACCTCCGTTTCTTCGTGAATGACAGCCAACCGGTTGGCAACAAATATGCTGTCGTCCGTATATTGCTAACATAGTGAAGAACTATAGCGTAGTCGGTCCAGTAGGTTGCCGTCCATTCAATCGAGTTAAAACTTCTTTTGAGCACCTGAGCTACCTTCACGGCTAGTACTGCTGCGGCCAGTTCTAGCCTGGGTATCGAGACTGACTTAAGAGGGGCAACCCTGGCTTTTGTGAACAGATTACTGCTATGCCTTCTTCCTCCTGGCTGAGACGAGCAACCGTAGGCCACCACCCCGTATCCCACCTCCGACGCGTTCGGAAGAAATGTGTAACTCACTGTGCTCTCCTTTTTGCATTCCTGTTATGGGACGAGAGAGTCGTATATCGCCCAGCTTGGATAGGCTCAGCCACCAGCCTTGCCAGGTCTTGTGATCCCCTGGTATGGAACGAGGGAATCGTATATCGCCCAGCTTGGATAGGCTCAGCCACCAGCCTTGCCAGGTCTTGTGATCCGCGTCGCATAGGGTCTCATCCCAAGTGACCGTTTTTCGACACAGGTCCTGCAGCAGAATCTTGCCTTTTTTCTACACAGGTCCTGCAGCAGAATCTTGCCCGGTAGTATCCACGGTGCGACGAACCCCATGCCACGGTGCGACGAACCTCATATCCTGCAGCAGAATCTTGCCCGGTAGTATCCACGGTGCGACGAACCCCATTGGATCGTAAAGCCCGGTAGTTGCCACGGTACGACGAACCCCATTGGATCATAAAGGCTGGCCAAGGAAGACAGAATTCCTCTGCGAGTCGCTGTCGTCTCAAGTAACTGGAGTTGGAACAAAAACTCGTCTTTCTCCGAGTTCCATTGCACACCAAGTGCTCTATCTTTTGGTAACGGACTCCCCTGCAATTCACGGAGATTCGGCGCCCGCTCATCA